TGCATTGCTGGGAATTCCTTTTTTTTGTGGGAAAGAAAATGAGTCTAAAATCTTAAAAATATTTGAAATCCGAAATTAATGCAATAATGGTGGTGTCAAATATGGTGGACCTATAAAGAAGATATTTTACAGAAAGCTGTGCTGCAGACTTAAGATGAGAATACATAAAACGGCTGGCATTCTTTGTTTTCTCACCTTTTGAGCTCTGAATGTCGATTTATATTTTTTTTTTTGGATGAAAATTTGTGGCTAAAAATTCAAAATACCGAAAATTCGGTGGTGCAGTAACGTGGAGGTCAATAACTAGATATGGGCTGATATAGCACACCTCCAATACCAAGCATTCCAAACATATTAACATGCCTTTTGGTGGTTAAACACCGAAATGAAATTCATGTCACTTTGCCACAAAAACGTTTATAGCAGCGTAGACACAAACCACAGGGTGATACAAAAACGCATTCTGGTATTGACAACAACATTGTGAACAAGAGGATAGAGGATTTATTCTCTATGGAAAAAATCAGCCTCTGGAAACTGAGAAAAAGTAAGTCTCTGAAAACTGAGAAAACTGCCTCAATTTTACTGACGATTGTGACCCTTTGTGGGTGAGGTACCAGAAGGGGTTCGCAGATCTTCACAACAGATGAATGGAATCCGATGTTCATTTCACGTTTTATGAGCTTCATTAATATTCAAAATTTTGACCCTTTGTGGGTGAGGTATCAGAAGGAATGTTCAGATCTTGTGATGATGTTTCTCTCAACACAAGATCTGAACATTTCGTCTTCCCCCGCAAAGGGTAAAAAATTTTAAAATGTACCAAGTCTGAATGGAATCGGATATTTATTTCGCGTTTTATGGGCATTGAAGGTATTGAAATTTTTGACCCATTGTGGGAGAGGTACCAGAAGGAGTGGACCGATATATCCCATCTTCACAGCAGACCTTGGGTCAATACAAATATTGTGAAGCGTGAAATTTGAAGACAACCGGATTCTTATATCAGATTTTATAAGAGTAAAAATTATTTAAACATTTGGACCTTTGGGGGTGGTACTTGTTAGAGTGGACCGATATTGTCCATGTTCGCACCTGACATAGTACTGATGCAAACATTAGGATTTGCAAAGTTGGAGCAAAATCGGATCATCCTTTTTTTCTGTGAAGTAAAATATTTTTTTTTTTTTCAAAATGTTGACCTTTTGTGGGGGATTGACCAGAAGGAGAGTACCAATATTACCCATCTTCGAACTCGATCTAAGTTTGACAATAATATTACGATGTACAAAGTTTGGACCAAATCGGATACTTCCTTTGAGAGTTATCTTGCGCATCAGCCAGACAGACGGACGGATGGACATGGCCAGATCGGATTTGGTCCAAAGAGAACTAGGGTTTTAAACCCGTATTTCGATGAGGCACGTTTTGGCCGCATCAAATCATATATACCCTCTCTAGCCAAATGGCTGAGGGTATAAAAAAATACATTCGTATGATTTTTTCCTTTAGAAAAACATCCCCTCAGTTGCTGAGAATGGATTTTTTCCTATAGAAAAAATATTCCCAGTTGCTGAGGTTGAAATTTTTTTCCATTTCCTTTTTCATTTTCATTTTTTCATTTTCCTGTAGGAAAAATATCCTCAATCTAGAGAAGATGATGATTTTTTCTATAAAAATTTCTTAGGCAATGAGGCAAGGTTTTTTAAAGAAAACATATTTTGTTCCAATAAAAAAAATTCTCACGAAATAATCCCAACCATGGGAAACTAAAATAAATTCTCACCATGGCCTCAGAAATATTCTCACGGTAAGACATTCTCTTTTTTCTCGTGAGAATATTTCAAGTCCGTCTACATTGTCTCTCAATTCAAGTAATAGGCGCTCAGCAAATATTAATAGAAACTTTTCAAAATTTTTTCAAAACAGTGAACATTTCCCCTTTAAAACTAAAACAATTTTTACATCAACCCACAATTCGAAACCGTTTAAGGACTCATAATCTCCTGCACACGCACACACGGCCGTCCTTTTCATCCCCCTGTTAAAAAAAACATCAAACACTTGAATGGGATCATTATTTGGGTTATTTGTGTAACGGAACGTGTTGGGAAAACCACAGCACACACACACACGACGATGTTTGGAGAGCCTATCTCTCATTGTGTTCTCACATTGAGTTAGATTTTCCCATGGTTTTCTCTAAATTCCCACACAAAATATTTTCTTTATCCTTTGGAAAATAATCTTTGAAAAGAAGATTTCCCACGTCTTTTGTCTTATCCTGAGAAATTTTCAAAAATCGTGAGAATTGTCATCCATTGGCCATGAGGTTTTCGAAATTCTGTAACAGGAGCCCAGGAAATTTAGTAAGAGAAAGATGGACAGTTTTCTCACGCCATAGAGAGCGTGAGAAAAAGGGAAGTATAAGAATGAATGTGTGAGAAAAAATGTGTTAAGTTGTTTGAAAGGAGGATTGGTGTTTTCAGGAGAAAGCATGCCATGTAATGATCAGCATGAGAGTTGTCTTTTGTCTTCCACTTGTTGCATGGGAAATTTTTGGTAGGATCTTCCTTGATTTTGCATTTTGTTGAGAAATAAAGGAGATCAAATTGATTCATGGGAAACGGTATAGTGAGCATGAGATAAAGAGAATCACTCTTTAATGTGAGAATAAATGTGTGGAGACGTTCTGAAGGAGGGTTGGTTATAGAAGTAAGAAAATGGCATGGGATGCAATGAAATGATCTGCATGAGAATTTCCTCGCTTCTACACTTGTTGCATGCGAAAATTTTATCGTTTTTCATTTTCCTTAAATGTTTTTGAGAAAAAAGGGTTTCAATTTTTTTGTGGGAAACGGTAGGCATAAAGAGCGTGAGATAAAGAGAATCGCTCTTAGTGTGAGAATAAATGTGTGAAGTTTTGTATCAAAGAAGGGTAGGTTGTTTGATAGGGAAAATGCCTTGAAAGGCAATAAAATGATCATCAGAACTTACTTTCTCTGCACTTGTTGCATGGGAAAATTTTTGAAAGACACTTCCTGAGAAAAAATTAGAAAGAATTTAAATTATCTCGTGGGAATCTGAAAAGATTTTGATCGTTGAGAAATTACGAATTGTATGAGAATTTTTGGAAACACAAAGCCATATTCAGTTGAACAAATACCAGGGTCTCAGAATTAATGCCTATGGCTATGTTGAGAATTTAAAGCGATTTTGTAAATGTAAAATGTAAAACATCGTACACAGGTAGGAAAAGGAGGAAAAAAATGTATACAAATGGAATTAGGGATTTTATTCCATCATCTGTTGTGAGAGCTGTGCTCCATCGTGAGAATTTGTTTTAACGCAACAAACAGGAGGTCAAAAAAAGGCTAATACCTTTTTCATTTGGTGTCAACATATCAAGGGGATCACGGAGATATATTGGCTTTGTCCTTCATTTCTTTACGAGTAAAAATTTGTGAAAAATTGAATTGTGAAATTCTCACCGAGAAAAATACTACGCCCTGAATGGAGGATACCTTCAGAATGGTAACCACTTTTAAATATAATTTCTTGCTTCAGCACTTGATGCGTGAGACATTTTTGTGTAATCCCTGCTTTTTATGGATCTTCGTTGTTCATTAATAAATGTTCTTTGGAAAATAAATAAGAAATGATTGGAGTTGTCTTGTTATATTAGAATATCAGAAATTTCAGAATAATGGTTATGATTTAAAAACGTTTTAAAAAAAAAATCACCTTGCCCAGATAAATTATATGACGAAAGAGCCTATAGTAATGAAATTATACGTGTAATTTGCATAGGTCTATTTTGAAGGTTTACCGTGAGAATGTATTGTGAATGGGCTAAATCAACACCAGCAGCTAAGAATCTGTTAAAAATTTTCCTGAACTGTGGTGATATGTTATTATTTGGAAATTTTATCTTAAAAATCAATGAGAATTACTTCTTTCAAATCTTCGTTTCTTAGGTGTAATTTCAAAAAATCAATCTTAAAAACTATTTCAATACCTGAGGATGAATGCATTTTAATAGAAAATTTTACTCAAGATTTGGAAGGGATTTTTTTTTTAATTTTTTCCGCATCGGAAGGAATTTGGTCAGGAATTTTGATCTTGAGTCCCCAAGATTCAAGGTCGATTTTTCCACGAAATAAACTTAAGGCTATAAAAATGTCATGAAACCCCCAGATTTCATTTGTACTGAAAAAATATTAGGACCTTTAGATGAATTATCCCAGATCTGAAACATTTTTCCAACGATATATTCCTTAAGATTTTTATGGAAAAATACCCACTGATCTGAAGAGAAATTTGAATCTTAAAAAAAATATCCTCAGAAAAAGATTATTTTTTTAAAGGAAAAAGTATACTTGGGAACTGAAGACGAAAACTGCAGACTATAGATAAAATGGCATAAGGACCTGAACATTTTTTGGTACTTCATAAGGATTTACTGACAGGTTCAGACAAAGATTTTTAATAGAACATGTAAAAAAGCAGTAAGTTCGTCCGGGCCGAACTTTCAATACCCTCCACCATTTGGAACGAATTCGGAAATGTTATACAAAGACTGCATAAGAAATTTGTTGTTGTATGCAGGCTATACGATATCCTGAACCTATATAGACATTTCTCTTTCAGGAGGTAAAGTGTTTTTCAAAGAACTCCTAGTATGGATTTTTAGGCAACTCCATTAAAATATGTAGATGAAATCATCAAAATACAGAATATAGGGAGGTACCGTTATATATATAAAATTATAATTTAAAAATTCAATCACAATTTTAATAAAAATCACTTAAATATTTTACATCAATTTATGCTAAAACAAGTCTAAATGTTTTCCTTCAAATACTTTAATATTTTTTATATCTGTTTCTTAGCAAGAGTTTCGGAAAATAAGCCTTCAAAACTATTGATTTTTCTCATCGTCCTCAAAAATATCCTGCCTTTTCTTTAGATTTGCTCTCTAGGGAAACAAATTTTTCAAATTCTTATGCTTATTTCTATATTTTTATTTTGAGCCATAATTTTTTTAAATGCTTTCAACATTTTCTTATCATTCGTTTACACTGGGTATTTCTTTTGTTTAATTTCGTTTCTTTATCTTACTTAACACAATAATCTTTACGTTGTTGGCGTATAACAGCCTCCAGTTTAAGGCAGCGCTCCCGTAAGGAACCATTTTCCTTTTGCAGAATATCAATGGTGGCATCCTTTTTCTCAATGGCTTGTTGGACTCTGTGGAGGGAATTCAAACAAAAGAAATTATAAAAAAAAATTAAAAAAGATATTATGCGAAAAATGTCACCTCTTGTGAATCTTTTGGATTTCCTCATCGCGTTCCATTTTCAGGGCCTGCACCTCACTCTGAACTTCGTTGCGAAGATTCTCGCGCAATTGATCACGTTCCATGAGCAATTCGGAGCACATCTAAAAGGGAAATATGAAAAATTATCATTTTTTCAGGAATTATGTTTGTAAGACTCTCTAATGATCAATTTAGAGGCATATGTTGAGTGACTTTTTCAGATTTTATGTTTAGAATTTTTATAGGATACTTTTAAGGGATCTCCAATACATTTTTTCAATTTAGAAGAAAATCTTTGCTTTATAAACAGCATTGCTCTGTGGCAGAATCTGCAAGAATCCACCGATTTTTCGATATCATAAAGGAAAAATGGTTCATTGTAATAACATTATTACATTCTTGCAGGTTCTGGAACAGAGCATATGTTATGCAGTTGCATATAGTATACTTATACAATATTTTTAATATAAATATAATTTGAATGCGTTTCTTTATATTAAAAATAGAACGGAGCGCCTAAAAGTACACTATAATAGAATGGTAAAGATAAATGTGGAAAAAGTCAGTTAACCTATCACTCCAACTTCAATTTGCTTCATTGTCAAATATTCTTCAAAATTAAAATTTCTCTCTATATTTTTTTCAAAATCTTCACCCGCGGGATCCCATTTACCTTCTTGCTATGATCCAATTCAATTTGCAGCTGCTTGATCTCAGCCTGAAAGTTGCGAACCTGGGCATCGGACTCGGCCAGTTTGGATCTGGTGTCATTGTATTTCTCTCTAACCGATTTCTCAAGATTTTCCAACTCCTGCAAGTCCTTTTCATATTTCTCACGCAAACGACTAAAAAATTATAAAAATATTAAAATTAATTTATCCATTGAATCTTCACCCTACCTACCTCATCTTATTTTCAAACTCCTCATTGTTTTTCAATGCCTCCGCATCCATGCGCTGGACAATGGCATCGATTTGTCGATCCCTCTCGGCGCGATAATGTTGACGTATCGCATTCTCTTTTTCCGCCTGCTGCGACTTACAATTACTCTCGTATTCCTTTTTCCATAGCTCGAAATCGGCTTCATATTGTTTTTCGATGGTATTGATACGATTTAGGAATTTCTCTTCTTGTTTTGACATCTTTTCTTGCAGTTCGGAAATGGCTTGTTCCAATTCCGTTTCTTTTTCTCGTTGCCATTCGGAACGTTTGGTCTGAAGTTCCACGTCCTTTGCTTTTAGTTCGTTTTGTAGACGTTCTTTTTCATTGTTGTAATCTTCGGAGAGTTTCAGTTTTTGCTCATCGAAGGATTTACGTTCCTCTTCCAGTTGGCGTTCGAATCTGGGGGGAGAGAGGTAGGAGATGAAAATTGCATTATCAACTTTTTAAACAAAATCTTTGTCCGTCCTGCTTTCGCTTTTTTAAAAGGTCATGAGAACATTTTTGAAGTAGAATCATTTCTCAGATCCTGATAAAGTCATTCTTTGGTCCTGAGAGTATGTTTTTGTTAATAGAACAGTGTTGGCATATTTGTTCGGGATACTACAGTATTTTGTTGTTGCAAAATAGTTAGGCTTAATCCCATTATTATTTTTATTTATAAAAGCAACGTGTGTTTATTAGTGGGGAGCGATGGTAATGTTTATCAGGGTGTAAGGCAGGGGATACCTAGGTTTTGGAAAGGGCCACCAATCCTCATCAGTTCCCTTGCTTTTTGTTTAGGATATTCTCCCCAGAAGTTATTTTAAAATAACTCCTATTAATTGTAAAATCGATGTTTAAAACCTGCAGATGCTTTCTGAAACAGGACATTTTTCTATGAAAAACTACGGCCCGAAGATATTTTTCTTTAAAAAAAAAGTATTTCCAAGACCCTGTGGACATTTTTTCCATAAAAAAATTCAACCTCAGAAGCAATTGTCATTTTCTTTTATGGAAGACTTTCTTCTTAAGTTTCTAGGTATAAATTTCCCTCAGAATCTGGAGAAATTTGTTTGTAGGAAAAGTTACCCTCTGGGGCTCAGCATCAAATTATCTTCTGAACCTTAAAAATATATCGGATTAAGGATAGTTGTTATATGGATCCAATTCATTCTTTGGATATTTTTCTGTCCAAAAATGCATAATTTTCTTTACAAAAATATCCTTAGTCTGAAGTTATTTAATTTTTTTAGGTCATGGTCTACGTTTTTCTCGCACCCCTTTCGGAAAACTACTTACCTTTCCCTTATGGCATTTCTTTCCTTGCTTATTATGGACTCTCGATCCTGGGCACATGACTCCCGAATGCTATTCTCAATCTGTTCATGTTTCAGGCGGGCCTCCTCCAAGGCATCCAGCAGCTGTTGTTGATGGGCCCGCTTCAACTCGGTGATTTGTTGTTGGTGATTACAATTCATTTTATTGATCTCGGCTTCCAGACCCTTGACAGTCAACTCCTAAAAAAACAAAGAATTAGAAAACTCTACTTCACCCCTTGCCATAACCTCACCTTTATCTTTTTAGTATTCTCCCGAACCCATCGTTCTCGTCTTATCTTCTCCCCCGCCAATGTGGTTTCCTTCACTCGAGCTACTTCTGTTTCCAATTTATGTTCCCAGGCCTGATTTTGACTTTCCAAGCGGCGAGTCAAGGCAGCCACTTTTTCACATAGCGATCCCTTATCTTTCAATAGCTGTTCTATAAATCCCTGGTGACGCTTCACAATCGTTTCATAGTGTTTCTTCTGTTCCTTCATGCGATTGGCGGAATTTGCCTTTTCTGCGCGAATGGTCTTTTGTTTTTCGGTGCGTATCTTCATGACATGTTCCTTGGACAGATGGACGGCATTGGCCAATTCATTGGCTCGCAAACTCAATGCAATTACCCGGCGTGCCAACTGGTGATTGGGCAGCATGAGCAGATCGGAGAGTCTTAGAGGAAACAAGGAAGGAATTGAAAATCATTTTTAAAAAGAGTTACATTTGACTTACTTTGGAACATCTTCTGCAATGTCCGGTTCGACCACAAACTCCACTTCGGTCCTATTGCTATCCGGCATTGATCTACGTGTTTCAAGCAATGTCTTCTCACAGCTATCCTCCACATTGTCCAGATAACTGAGAATATCTCTAAATTTGTCGGGAGATTTTGGCGGCTTTTCGGATTCATTTGTAGGATGAGGTGTTCCCACGCTGGGTGTGGTACTCAGCTTTAAATCCATTTCGGAATTCATGCGTTCAGCTAAGTTATCTGAAACAAAATTAAAAGGCATTCTTGGAATAAATTTTGTTTTTTGGAAGAAAAATTTGAATTTAGGTATCTAAGAATATTTGAAATTCGTGAAAGATCCTCCTCAGAGCCTGAAGATATTGTTCTATTGAAAAAATGTATCCTCAAGACTTGAGGTTTTAGTGTGAGAAAGAAATGTTTCTACAGAAACAACCTGTAGGAAAGTCCCTTTGTCCTACGAAATGGGATAAAAGACCTTTAATATGTCTTCTAAATATAGAAACCTTTCCCAAGTCTTTGAAAATGTATCTCTGAATTTTTTTTCTGAGGTCAGTTGGATATATTCCCTATGCGACCTACAATTATATTTTTCGTCAGAAAAGTAAATCTCTTTTGTCCTCTAATTCCCCAAAAAAAAAATTCTGTAGAAAACACACTTTGATAGAAGACATCTAATATGTCATATAAACATAGAGACCTTTCCCAAGTCTAAGAAAATGTATCTCGGAAAAGTCCTTTTCCCAGGTCTGAAGTATAAATACCCCATAAGACCCAGAACTGTACTTTAAGGCTGAAATGCAAGTCCCTCAGTCCCTTAAAATCCAAGAAAAACTAAACCCCCTTTTCGAAAAACTCACCCTTTTTCTTATCCTCTTCGATCTCCTTGATGACCGATACGATTTCCTCATATGTCGAATCATCCTGAGAATGATCCAGAGATTTCAATGAATTCTTATCTTCCTCATCCGGTTCCTCTTCGCCATCGGCGTCCATGGCGTCAAGTGTCTCTCGAGTAAACTTTTCAAATGAATCATCCAGGGAGCCATGTTTTGTTAATCCTCCACCAACACCACCCCCTCCTTTGTTTTTGCTTTGGGCCTCCTCATGCATGGACATCCAGGAATCGATTTTATCAATGTTGAATTCTTGCAGATTGGAATCTTCACGTAAGTTACCAAAACTTTTGGCCTTTTTAATGTTATTTTGGGTCAAAGGGGCAATGGAGGAGCCCGGGGAGGTTTTGGTTTTATTATTTTTGTTTTGCAAGGAAGTCACTGTTGCGGCTGAGGCTGGTTTTTTCTGCTCATTTTCGGAATTTTTGTTGTTTTCCTTTTTCTTAATTATGTTAGCCGAGGAGGCAGTCACCTTAAGATAATTATTAATGACCGATTCCGTCGAACTCTTCTTCGTACCGCTCTGGGAAGTTTCCAATTTATTGTCCATTTTTAAAATATCCTTTTTGGCAATTTCCGTTTTAAAGCTACTGAGGCTGTTGTTCTTTTCCGCAATGTTATTCGGTTTTTCCAGAACCTCCGTAGAACTATGGGAGTTTAGGGAATATTTCGAAAGATAAGAGGGCAATTCGAAATTGTTAAGGCCATTGGTGGTCAAGGTTTTGCTGTTAGCCACGCCTTCATCTAATATATTTTTAACCACTGAGTTTTCCAATTGCTCTCCCACTGCATTCTTGTAGTCTCTTATGACTTGGGACTCTTCCGGCTCCTTGAGGTCCCGGGATATTTTATGTGAAGGAGAAAGGGAGTTTCCGGTGTGGGTTTTATCCATTTCAGATGCTGTTTGATTTTTGGCTACAGATTCCGTGTAAAACTTACAGCTTGGTTGATTACAATAACACTTGGGACTAAGCGGATCTTGTAGGCTACTCGACGAAGATGACCGAGTACTGCAGGAACAGTTTTCCGAGGGACACTTGGGATATTCAAATGTTTCGGCCACAACCTCCTCACCATTGGCAGGAGAACCAAAATGCACAGACTTTTTGAGACTCAAAGAGGAGAATTCTTTGCTAAGACCCAATTCCTGTTTGGTTTTGAAATTATAATCCTCTGGCTTTACGGGGCCTGGAGCTGAAATACTTTCTTCTTCGGGGCCTGGGGTTATGTGTGGCTTGTGAAAGTAGGGATTTTCATAATCACTGGAATCGTTATCACTTTGGAGCTGGGAAGAAGATTTCGAAAACGACACCCTGCCTGGCAGATCAGGTTTATCGTTTTTCACCGATACCGAAGGATTGTAAAATGAATGGTTAGTGGAAGTGCTCGAGACCTTGCTGGTGTGCTGCATAGATTGCGCCGAGGTTACTTTGCGCATGGGATTCCTAAGGGTGGTCATAAACTTTTCGTTATTCAGTGGCTTGTGTAGACTGGAGCAACTGCCACTTCGTCGATATGAACTCAATTCCGATTGATTGTCCCGACTTGAGGCATCACCATCACTGTGGGTCGTGGAAGAGTTATCCTTACACAGCCATGGCCGTTTAATGGGTTCGTCCAATAGCAGTTTCAAAAGATTCGAGGAAGACACTGATTGGAATCGTTGCTGCCGTCGTTTGCTTAAATTCAAATTAGAAAATTCCGAATCTGTGTTTGTGCTAAACGAGCCGCAAGGACTTTGGAAGTTTCTACCAAATTTGGGATCGGCCGACTGCGGGCGAAAAGCAAACGGAGAGTTCTGGCAACGTCTATCAAAAAAACTGGCTGAACGTGGTCTCAACTGGGAACTGGGTCGCTGTAATGATGTCGAACTCCGCAAAAGATTCGTCTGGGAATTGAATTTTGGTTTGGGTTTTTGTCGACTAACCAAATTTATCTGCAAGAAAAAAATTCAAAAGGTCTGAAAATTTTTGCTTTAATCTGTTCCCCACAGCTGAAGACCAAAAAACTTACCTGTGATCCTCTCAGACTTAAATCCATAATAGGGAAATTATTTTTCTTTGTTTTCTTCTTTTGTTTGAAACTTTTTCCAATATTTTCCGGTATTACATATTAATTATGTCCTACTTTTCTTTGCAACTTCTGAATTTTCAAAATTTCTTCACCACCTCAGGCGACGCAAGCACACACGTCCACTCGCTTGGACTTTTATTGAACTTTTGTCTTGGCCATTTGCCACAAACCACCCAACGCTTAACGCTTGTATGTCGTCACCAGGGCAATATCCATATCGATTTGAAAGGAATCACCCTCTCCAACTGCTTTACCAAAAATGCCATGTGTTTTAATGGTCAAGCAAGGTGTATTTCTTGGGCAAGAGTTTCTTTCGTGCTTTTTTAGTTAACAACAGTTACTAGCCACCCTCTTGCCGTGGCACAACGTGTGCCATGTTGTCCACAATGAGCAGCAGTTTGAGTTACCGGAAGCCACCCTTGTATCCTTGTATAGCCTTGAATAAAGTAAAAATATCAAAAATAATACTGGCCATAGGGTATTGTGTGATGTTGCTATGATTGTTGTTTGTAAACATTATTTTTAGATTTGGACCGACAGGTGTTTTTCCGAAAGCATATGCCGGCAAAGAGTAGTACGTTTAATAAAGAGAGTCTGATGTGGAAAACAATTAAAAGGCGGAGAAATAAATAATAGTTTGCAGGGAATGAAGAGCAAAAATACATAAGGCCGTATCGTTTCGTATATCCCGGGAGGAGTCTCAAGCTATAAGTGCCTATAACAATGTTGTGGGGGAGTTATTGGAAAGCGCTGTGGCTAAAAATCTTTTGGATGAAGGTTTTTTTTCAAAAATTTGAATCCAATAACATTGGGTGAAAGAACAACAGCCTGAATACATTTTAATTGGAAATTGCCAAAAAGGATACTTTAAAAATGGACAATAATTTATAATTTTCCAAAGCGGCATGAAGAAAAGTTGCACGGAACCAATAGCTATCATTATCTTAGGGAGTCTCCCTCTTGTCTCCCAGAATTTGGTAAAAGAAGACAGTAAAAACTTCGAAAATGACCAGAAAAAATCAACCGTGACTCCACAGAATTCCTTGTAAAATAAAAATAATAAAACCAAACCCACTCCAGCTTCCTCCATTATACCCTCTAACCCGGAATAACATTAAAAATACCGAAAGTGTTGCTAATTTTCGTGAAGATTCACTTTATCTGGATTCAACATCGATAAAATTGATTCGTGGATGTCCTGGCAAAATGTGGCCCAAATGAAAAACAAAGGAAGTGGTGGTGGCGGAGGCTTGACAAAACTCGGTTCTCTGGATGTTTCATTTGAAAAGGTTACCTGTGAAACACAACAAACAAAAATTCATTGAAATCGGATTATTCCCTGGATGACTCGTCACATGAGGAAATTGCATCGGTCATTAAATAAATCGAAGGGGAAAAGAAAGAAGAACAGAACGAGTTTTTCAAAATGGGCTTATTTGTTTGGAATTTGGGGACCTGAGAATCTGGTTTCCAGTTCAAAATTAAATTACTGAGAACCTTTAGAATAAGATAAACCAAACGTATTGCAGATTAATTTGGAAATTCCATTTTTTTAGTTTAAAGCCGATTCCTAAATATCCCGCCAAAACTTGCTTCCCTGCATCAGTCATTGGAAAAGTTGCTAGGTATTTAAAAAGTCAATACCATAATTAAAAATACATTTGTGGTCTTTACAAATATTAAAGCTTTTTCTAAAGAATTGGTTTGTTCCAGAACTGCAAGAATGTAAACCCTTTTACTATGATTACCGATTTTCCCTTATGATATCGAAGACAATTGCAAAAATAGTAGATTCTTGCAGGTACTGGAATGGAGCAAGTATTATCCCTATACTCTTACTTTAAGGTGGGAATACATAAATTGCTTATCTGGCTGGCTTCTTCGGAAATGAACAAAGGAGCCCAGGGCCAAAGTCGAACTAAGTCAACCTTAAACTCCTTTGTTCATGAAGAAGCCAGCCGATGACTTAACCCAGCCAAATATGCTTCTTATGTTGTTTTCTTAGATTGTTTTCTTAATAGAATCTGTTCTGAAATCCTAATAGTCGAAATACAATTGCTCTATTCCAAAACTTCACGAATGTAAAAGTTTTTACTATTGTAATTGATTTTCCATTTATGATATCGAAAAAAATTTCAATACTAGTAGATCCTTGCAGATTCTGAAGAACATCTCAGGTGCAATGTAGATGCGCTATTATTTCCTATAAAATTAGTTTTTCTTTTCCATATACCTTAAAAAAGTTTAATAGGCAAGCAAACGAGTAATTATCGCCAAAAGTCGAACTATAGAGCACTTGCACATAAAATGAAAATTGCGATAGTAAAAATATCGATAACAAGAAAAGACATTTCGAATTTCTCGGGCGGCATATTGATGGTCTGTACACGGAACAATCACCAAGACCTTAAAATTTCTAATAAATAAATACTAACTATCCACAAAAAGCTTGAAATTCCGAAACTTCAAATCGCTTTCAATATGGATTTCAAGATGGCCGGAATATATAAACAAAAGGATGTCATGACCATTGTCAAGGATGAGAAAAGTGGTGGATCGAATCCACCAGTTATAACCGTATACGAAGCTGAATTCAAGGACATATTCGATCTGCTAACTGACCTAATAGGCAAGAATAAGTTCTATGTACAAAGAAAACTACAAAATCGCATTACCGTACTTCTTCGAAACTTGGACAATTTAGTTAAAGCTCGCAATGTCCTACTTGGGAGTGGATTACCTACCGTTATGCACACTTTGGAGGGGCCATGTAGCGCTGGAAGGCCATTCGACAAGGAGAACTATAAACCCGCCCTCACATTGTACGGAGCCAACACTAAGGAAGTAATCAATGTACTGTTAAATGCACTGGGCAAGGATGAGTTTGTCATTAGCACAAACGAGAAAAATGTCCTATCTGTACGTCTTTCATTTATGATATCATTTGGCCTAGCTTGCACTGCTTTAATTGATTGTGGTTACGCAATTCACACTTCTGACACATTCCTTGTGGACTATAAGCTATATGTTGGCAATTTAAAAATCGGTAATACTAAATGTTTCCGTTGCCATGATTATGGCCATATTGCAGCAAATTGTAAAGCTCCCATAGATGATAATCAGTCATGTGATTCGCCTAGTTCTTCTGACGAAGAATCTGAAAGGTTTTCACTGGATTCTGAAACATTTCCACCCTTAGGAACTCCCGCGGCTGCTTCCAAAGCTTTAGTAAATAAAGCATATAATCTGGAAACTAAACTGGAAGGAGCTGTTGACATGTTTGAGGCATGCTCGCGGAGATATGGGGATCATTTTATGGAAACTTTTGTTTTGTTAAGACAATTTGCACCTGAATTTAATCGGATTGCCAAAGCAAAGGGTGAAGACGAAGCCATGAAGGCTCTACAGCGCAGATTGTTAAAGGTTGAAATCAAGTAGTTTTTGATCATTTAATTAAATTTATTTTTTGTTTTAAACATTAGTTATAATGTTTGTTTATTGTTGCCAAGAAGACAATTTTTGTTAATTAGTTTCTTTTTTTGTATCTAAGCTTATCAGCCTGTAAATGAGATTGAATTTCGAATTAGTAGGGAATAAATTTATTTTGGCTGTTTATTGAATAAAAAGTTTAGAAGATTTTACTAATTTTGGTATATAATGAAAAGACCTTCCAAAGCTGAAACTCTAAACAAAAACAATTAAGAATAGTTTTTATTGTTGTTGAAGGATATTAGGTGACGTAATTTATGAAGTAGGCTGTAGGGTCCAGTGACAGATATCTATATTATTCATGATTAAATCCTGGTTAATAAATTGCAATTTGAAACTATGAGTAAGAATAGGTTCTGATAGTTGGTGGGAATATTTTTTAATCTTTTACGTGAGTCGTGCTTGTGTTTAGGAGAAAAACCATCAAGGGAACCCCCACTTGTCTGTGTACCTGCATGGTAATGTTAAGTTCAATTGGTATAATATACCTTTCCAATTTTCAGGGAAATCGTTTTGACTGGTTTTTCCTTTTTCAACACCGATACATTTACCTAAAGGACAAAGGTTAAAGCGAACGTTCTTGCCTAAGAACTTTTTTAGAGAAAAATATATAAAATATATTCATAATTATAGCGAAATGGGAATTTTAAAATATCATTTATTAGTTAGTCCGGCATCCATAAATGTTATATTTTTCCGAATTTTATTCAAAGACAAAACAGGCTTAACCACGAATCTGCACTGCCTATGATTATAACATTGTTGAAATGAGTTTTTTATGAATCTCTGGAGAGAATATCTTTGGACAAAAACTAAAAGAAATGAAGAGGATTAGCTGCTCTCTTCAGAACTATATTACCCTGCCGTACACCTAAAAAACTCCTCCTTCAGAAGAGTTGCATTTAAATGCTTCTTTGGTAGAATATTCCCAGACAAAAAAAGGATAACTTCAATAGAGTAATTTAAATATAGCGAAACGGGAATTTTAAAATATCATTTATTTGTTAATCCTGCATCCATAAATGTTATCATTTTTTCCTAATTTTATTCAAAGACAAGACAGGCTTGATTACGACTCTGCACTGTTTATGATTAGAACATTGTTGAAATGAGTTTTTTATGAATCCCTAGAGAGAATATCCTTGGACAAAAACTAAAGAACTATATTTGCCTGCCGTAAACCTAAAAATGTGAAGACGATTGGTTGCTCTTATCAGAAATATATTTCCGTGGCGTAACCCTTCAGAGGAGTTGCATTTAAATGCTTCTTGGTGAGAATATTCCCAGACAAAAAGGGAGTTTGAAAAATAATGAAATATTTCTTCTCGCGGTTTTCAATTAGAAAGACCACAACAATAAGGTATGTGTTGGAAACCGATACTATTTGTGTGATACGGAATTGGGTATATTTTAGTGGTCTCTGATTGAAAACGGATATTGCTTTGTCATTATGAAATTATATAATCAAAATTTCCAAAAAAGATTTGATCAAACCTATAGTCGAATGGTTTCCACCACATATCTGTGTGTTGTAAAATATATACCTGATGACAGGATAATGCAAATTTCCATTCCCACATATATGGGTATTGATTTCTTAGAAAGCGATTTAAACTGCACGAAGAATCTGGATTATGACCAGTCAGGCAGGCAGATGTGTTGTATACACAGGTGTGCATTCCCTTTTTCTCTTTCACACTTCAGGCCATTATGGACTAGGTTATGTTCTCACAATTAGTTCGTAAGATTATTTTGTGGTACTTGATGAACAGTGTCCTGTAAACATTCAAGAGGAAACATCAGCTTACCTTTGTTTCCTCTCTTACAATAGTTATATAAAATTCCATTAAAATTTTTTTTGCAGATTCGAAGAAAGTCTTTGATAAAGCTCGAGTTTAATTGACATTCGAAATGAGATACAACAAGGCATCCATTTATAAACAAAAGGACGTAATAACTACAGTTAAGAACACACACAGATGCGGTGGAGACCCGCCGGTCATAACCGTGTACGGAGCTATACACAAGGAAATGGTCAAATTACTCAATGAGCTAATTGGCCATAATACATTCTTTGTGCAAAAAAAGCCTAAAAATCTGGCCACTGTACTTTTATTAAATCTAAAACATCTTTTCAAAGCCCGCAATGCGCTTCTAGAGAGTGGAATAGATGTTGTGATGCACACATTGGAAGATGCATGTGACTATAGAAGGACAATGACCGCAGAAGGCTATAAACCAGCCATATCATTGTATGGAGCTAGAATTAAGAAAGTGGTTAAAGTATTGACCCGTGCTCTGGGCCCAAAGAAGTTCTTTGTCAGCGTGAATGAGGAATATGTGGTGGCTATACATCTGTCCTTTATGCCATCGTTTAGTGTGGTTTGCAATGAATTAATCGAAAGAAACTACAATATCAATACTTCAGATACATTCCTGATCGATGAACGAATATTCAAGGCAGAGGAGTCATTGCGGACTAGTAAATGTTTCAGTTGTCAAGAGCTTGGACACTTTTCGGCAAATTGTAAATTTCTGAATGCGCAGATTTTGGCACGGGAAAATGAAAAAAACATGGCAGAGGCTGAAGATTATGAAGAAGAATCTGGAGACCTGGTGGAGTATGTAGAGCCTGAAGACCTGATAGAGAATGAAGAATCTGAAGAAATGGCGGAGGATGAAGAATCTGAAAACGTGACAGAGTATGAAGAATCTAAAGACGTTGCAGAGGAAGAAGAACCTGAAAACCTTGCAGAAGAAGAATCTGGAAACGTTGCTGTGGAAGAAGAATGTGAAAACGTTGCAGAGGAAGAAGAATCTGAAAACGTGGCAGTGGAAGAAGTATCTGAAAACCTTGAAGAGGAAGAAGAATCTGAAAAACTTGCCGAAAAAGAAGAAGAATCTGAAATCGTGACAGAGGAATTTAAAAACACGAAAGAAAACAATGAAATCCCACCAGAAGAAACTGAAAATGAGGCAGAGATTTCCTACACATCCACTACTTCTGCTAGCTCTTTGGAAACCATAGTAGCTCCCCCGAAAGTAAGCAGATCAGCGACCATGCTTGAGGCCTGCACCAGAAGATATGGGGAAAATTTCTTGGAAACCTTTGCTTTGTTAAGGCAGTTTGCACCTGAATTCCATAGAATTTCCCAGGAAAAGGGAGAAGACGCAGCCATGAGGGCACTACAATATAAGTTGCTAAGTGTTGAAATTTAATTAATAATATTTTGGAAATATAATACACGTATGTGTTAAATAAATGTTTTGTGCGAACTTGAGGTTTTGAATTAAATTTTTTTGTATTATTAGTTTTTAAAACATAAAATATGTATTCAATAAAAATCGGCAAAGCCGAATATTAAATTAGAAGTTCAATGTCTCTTTAATTATTTGGAAAAACTAATCTCCTTAAACATTTGAAACGATTCCTTGAATGCACTTCTTTAAAGAAGAGTAATTTTGTTTTTTTTTTATACAAATTAAAATAACAACAACAAAAACAGAATTTCCAGAATCTAAGCAAAAGTCTGGCGAAGATAGGGGTTAGAATGCCAAAGGTTTGGTTAAGATTTCATGCCAAAAGTTGGATGGAAATGTTATTATAAAGGACATGTAAGAATTCCATGCTTAAGATTCAAATAACCGGGATCCTTTGCCTTTCGCGGTCTTATAAAACGAAAGATGCCAACGCATATTTTTGTATCGATAATTGAACTGCATTTTTTGCCTTTAATATTTTGCTGGGTTGTAATTTGGCATTTTCATGCAAAAGAGTGAGAGAGAGAGTGTGAGAAAGAGCATTGGAGCAGAATTCAGTGTTTTTGGCGCCAATCAAGCATCATTGTTTCTTTTTTTTTGTTGGATTTTTATTTGCTTTAGTTAACTTCACCTCAAAAGGAAACAAAATTAGATCCCGAGTATGGACTTAAATAAAGCTTATGAAAATTGTCCAGCCAGTTATGCTGCAATGGAAGCCTTGCTGGAAAAACTTAAACAAAATATTGGCAAACTCATCGAGGAGAGACGCCACTTATTGCAACTAAGAGAGACACTTATGGGCATCCCTCAGAAAAATTATTCCGATGGCGTTATGGAAATTTTAGACAAGCTACTACACCTTGAAACCAACGATAAAGGTCTAACGCTGGCAGCAAAATCCAAGGCATTTGTCTCCGAACTGAAGAACATTAAAACAAGGCTATCAATTGATAACACACAGTACTAGAAACAGCTATGCACCCCCGCCATAACCATATACAACGTGTCCCAGTGCAAGGAAATATTCAAGCTACTCAATGACCTAGTTGGTGAAGATGGCTTTGAACTGGAACTGAGTCCAAAGAACATAGTGACCGTATTGCTTTTGAAAATGGAAAACTTGGATGATGCACGAAATTGTTTGTTCAAAAATAAGGGCTATAAGTTGAAAACTCATTCCTTGGAAATGAAAACGCCAGAAGGTCCCAAAAGCAAGCGCAAGAAACGTACATATCAACGGGCCTTGACCTTGTACGGTGCCAAATTTGGGAAAGTAAGTAATATCTTAAAGCAGGCAGTGAGTCCAGGTGACTTTATGCTTGATACGGACAAGGAAAATGTTGTGGGTGTACATCTTTGGAATCCGGCAGATTTTGAAAAAGTCCGTAATGCTCTACTTGAGAAAGATTACAATATACATACCTCCGAAGCTTTAAGGAACATGGAAGTGGGGAAGGCAGCCCTACCAGAAACGAAAAGTGTTTTTGTTTACATCTCGTATGATGCCAAGAACAAAGGAAAACCCATAGAAGACTTCCAGCCGGCCTTTACTTTGTATGGCCCAAAATGTAAGGAAGTCCGTAATCTATTACTGGGGCTTGTGTGCATAGATGATTTTCTCTTGGAAATGAAGTCAAGCGATTGTGTGATCATCAAACTTTTGCAAATGGAAAATGTAGAAAAACTTTATAAAGTTTTCTCGGAGAGGGGATATACGTTTGATACTCACGTGGCAGATGAAGTGATATGCTGCAAAGAGCCTGCTGCTGAACCAAATGACATTAATGCTGCTGCTGCAGGAAAAACGCCATCAGTAGTTGCTTGCAACGCCGAGGAGGGAAAGAAAATTAAGTGTGTCCCTTGCCAAGGCTCTGGTTTTATTTCAGAAACTTGTGAGGTTTCCAAGGCTAAAGAAGCAAACTCAATTTTTGCATCTTCCAAAAAGTCCGAAAATACGGCTCCAACCCTTATTGAAAGTCCATCAGTTCCTTTTGGAACAGAACAAGTATCATCGAAGAAGCCGGCATCAAACCTTCTCGAGACATGTACCAGAAGATATGGCGAGAATTTTCTGGAAACTTTTACTTTACTAAGGCAATTTGCCCCCGAATTTAATACAATTTCCAGAGAAAAGGGAGAAGATGAGGCCATGAAGGCCCTTCAATATAAATTGTTAAATGTTGACCTCGAATAGGTAAATGAAAAAGAGGGTGATATTTGTTTTGTTCGCAGTTATATTTTATTTATTTAATTAATTATTGTTAATGAAAAACAAATATGTAATAGTTATTTTAATGTCAATTATTTGTTTATGTTTCATTTATGTATTTAACTATTGTTAATTAAGAAGATGCTAATATTTATTTTAGTGGCAGTTATATTTTGATATTTTATTTACATAATTACATTTAATGAAACAATAGATATTCGTTATTTCAATGGCCATCATGTTTATTTTTTATTTATTTAAACCGGAATCAATCTTCATAGGCAACAGCGAATAAAAATTTTCTTTAGAATTTGTAGTTGTCCAGAATTGGTCACATCTATCATCATCTAAATTATTTTCAGACATAGGGGATTCGGTCATTCTGGTTGGCATCTCCAGGAAACAAAGTCAAAATTAGAGACGGAGAGAAAAGATTTCCTGAAAATAAAAAATTGGCCCATGTCCGGCCAATCAGGATCCTCTGCTTTACCCAAAAGAGAAGAAAAACAAGAATTGAAGGGTAAGGTCCATATCTAGTTGCGCCAAGAGACATCTTATGAAATTATCCAACAATCTCGAAACCCAGCTGCATAGATAGATAGTGCCGAAACTTGGTCCTTAAATTAGTCGCCAAGGCATGCACACCAAGCCGTGCTAAGAGAATTCATAGATGTCACGCTCTGTGTGCCTTTGTTAATTTTCTTGATGATTCTGTGTGTCCAATTGAAGGATATTGATTGTCTTCCTTTTGTTTTCTATAGGAAAAGGACGACGAGAAAACAAGTGGGAAATCTGAAAGTAAAAAATTGGTCCATAGTTGACCAAACAAGATCCGCTGCTTCACCAAAAAAGAAATGACAGAAAATGTCCACATCCTTTTGTCCCAAGAAACATCTTTAGAAAGTATCCAGGCTGAGGGAAACCGATTTCTCTCCCTTAGAGGTTATTCTGGATTATTTGATTTACTGACATTGATTATCTTTTTCTTGTCTGCTATGAAAAAATAGAGGCAGAGGGAAAACAAAGAAGAAATCTGAAAGTAAATATTGGTCTATAAATGACCAATCGGGGTCCGCTGCTTCATAAAAAAACGAAAGAAGAATATGAAATGGAAGAAAAGGTCCACATCATCTTGTCCCAAGAAACATCTCTAGAAAGTATCCAATATTCTCCAAGTCCAGCCATGCTGAGGGAAACCACTTTCTCTCCCTTAGGGGTTATTCCGGATTATTTTGGGTGACCGAGGTTGATTATATTTTTCTTGTCTGCTATAAAAAAGAGAGCGGAGGAATTGGTCTATAGTTGACCAATCAAAATCTGCTGCTTCATAAAAAAAACGAAAGAAAAGGATGAAATGGAAGAAAAGGCCCACATCCTCTTGTCCCAAGAAAAATCTCTAGTAAGCATCCAATGTTCTCGAAGCCCAGCCATGTTGAGGGAAACCACTTTCTCTCCCTTAGAGGTTATTCCTGATAATTTTGAGTGATCGATATTGACTATCTTTTTCTAGTTTGCTGTTTGCGAAGGAGAGACGTAAAGGTAAAAAAGAAGAAATCTGAAAATAAAAAGAAATTGGTCCACTGTTGGCCCAGCAAGATCTGCAGTTTCGCCAAATAACGAGAATACAAGAGATGAAAGAAAACATCCAGGTCTCCTGTGTTCTAAAGACACATCTTTAGGAAGTTTCCAATATTCTTGAAGCCCAACTGGTGTTTTGTGTCACTCGCCATGACATGCTAGCTGTCATGTTTTTTGGAGATTTCGCCATTTCTTGAGATAGATTTTGTGGGTCCAATCGAGCGACATTTATTATTTTGCTATAAAAGAACGAAAAGCGTCAGGAAAAATAGAGATGAAATCTGAAAATAAAAAAGGGTCCATAGGGAAGAGAGATAAAAATTTAAAGAAAAGAGTACACAGTAGTTTAGCCTCTAGGTCCTCTGTTCACACGTGGCATCTATGGACAATTTCCAATATTTTTTGTTTTCAATATTCTCAAACTCCTAAATGTATGGAAATTGGTTCCATTCAGTAAATTGGAATGTAATGGGGTCCTTGAATCAGTCTCCAAGACTTTTTTGGCGGAAAAATTTATAGATATTGTTCTCTCCCTTTGAGTTTGCATTTGTGTGACGTTTATTATTTTTCTGTAATGGAATTAAAAGCAGAAAGAAAGCCAGAAACAAACCTGAAAGTAAAAATATGGTCCATGATTGACCAATTCGCTGTTTCATCAAAAAAGGGAAGGAAAAATAAGAACTAGAAGAAACAGAAAATAATGTAGCACAGTGCAGGTCCTGTGTTCCCAAGACACAAATTAATAGCATTTCCAATATTCTGGAAGGCCAAGTGAATATATATTCCATTCAGCATATAGCCATGAAACAGGGCCCTTGAATCAGTCGTCAAGACATGCAAACTTCTATGGTGTGGGAATTCCTAGACATGACTCTCTCACTTTTCCCTGGAGAATATTTCTTATAATTTTATGTTTCCCATCGAAGGTTATTTATTATTTTTATTTTATTTCTTATTTGGGAAAAAAGGGAAGAAAAATAAAAGGTATTGAAGAAAAGAAGTCCATGGTTGACCAGCACATTTAGAAAACCAATATTCCATTAATATTCTTGAAAACCAACTGGATACATAACAAGCAGATATTGACAGAACTTGATCCTTGATTAAGGCCATGCTGAGCAAGTATTTCTTGATTATTGTATGGATTCAGAACATCTGCAGAAGTGGGATTTTCTTCAGGTTCCAATTAGTTTGCC